CTGATGTTCCTCCTCCCCCCTTTCACATCCTCTGAGTTGAGATTCAGCTCCCTCAAGGTTTATGTCAAGTACCATGAAGCCTCCCTTGGTCCTACAGCTGTGACACCCTCATATAGGGAAGAAGTGAGATACAAGTGAATGTATGCTAGATTTGGAGTCAAAGGATCTGAGTTCGAATTCTGCCATTTATTGTGTCATTTAAAGAACAGGATATCACTTAATCTCACTGGGCCTCACTTTCTTTGATTTCTAATATTCCTTTAAAACCTAAATGATTCTGTGATCTCCCTTTCATTACTATTTAGCTTATCTTGGTGCCTGGCATATAGTAGGAGCTTAATAAATGTTTATTAACTGACTGACTGATTAACGACCATTTGGACTTTCCCATATTATAATCTGGATTTATTTATCTGATGGCTACTATTGGATTGTAAGCTCTTTGAGGGCAGAGACAATGTCATAGAATCATAGAATCTTGGATTTTCAAGGGACCTCAAAGGCTGTCTAATCCATTCCATACCCAAACAGGAACCTTCTCTCCTGATTCCCTGACAAGCGGTCATCCAAACTTTGCCTGGAGACCTCCAGTGAGGGGGAACTCACTACTTCCTCATGCAGCCCAGTCTACTTTGGGATAGCTCCGGTGTTAGGAAAGTTTTCCTTACGTTGAGTTAAAGGTCACCTCTCTGCTCTTTAGAATCATAGGGTCATGGATGTAGGGTTGGGATGGACATAGAGGCCATCTAGTCCAATGCTCTCATTTTACAGATGAGGAAACTGAGGCCTAGGAAGGTGACATGACTAGCCTAAAATAACACATGCAATAAATGTACAAAGTGGCATTTGAACCCAGGTCCTCCTATAACACATTGGAATATTTCATGAAGATGGAGTTGAAGGTTGACTTTGAAGGATAAATTGGACTGAGGATGATTCAGGCAGAGAAATAAGGGGCAGACCCTCTACAACATTCTAGGCAAGTCCCTTCTTCCCTGGGCCTCACCCTCCTGCCTAGCATGGTGATTTATTAAGTGCTTACAGCAACCTTCCCCTAAGCCACTCCAGAAGCCTGTCCACTCAACTGGCCCTTGGGCAGAGCCGCTCTGTCTGTTGACTGGAGAGTAAGCAAATCAACCCTAGCCACATAGAGGCCGCTAGTCTACCAGGAAGACTTGAGTTGAAATCCTACCTCAGACATAAGTTATGTGATTCTAGGCAAGTGATTAACCTCTGTCTGCCTCTGTTTCCTCAACTCTAAAATGGGGATAATAATAGCATCTACTTCACTGGGTTCTTGTGAGGATCAGATGAGATCTTTGTGAAACACTTTGCAAACATTAAAGTGCTCTATAAATGTCAGTCATTATTGTTGTGGTTTCACTCTCTTTGAGCCACAGGCTACCTGGCCAGAAACTGCCTCCCCTGGACCACCAATCCCCTCATCTCAATCTGTGTACTGACTCCTCTTGTGGTTCAGTCATTTTCAGTTATTTCCAACCCCATCTGAGGTTTTCTTGGCAATGACATTGGGGTAGTCTGCCATTTCCTTCTCAAGCTCACTTTACAGATGAGTAAACTGAGGCAACATACTTGCCCCAGGTCACACAGCTTGTGTCTGAGGCCAGATTTGAACTCAGGCAGCTGAGTCTTCCTCACTCCAGGCCCAGTATTCTATCCACTGCACCACCGAGGTGGTCAGTCTATTCTGTATTCGAGCCTTCTTTTGTGCCTTCTGGACCTTCATTCTATTATTAACAAACTGCCCTTCATACTTCAAACTGCTCTTCTTGTCTTATTCCCTATATTTTCTCACAATCATGCTAACCTGGTTCTTCCCAGAAGACTCTGCATCTCTGACCACATTCTCTAATACTAACATACCTTCTCCTATGTGCCCTCCTCCCTCCCCCCCAAAAAACAACCCCCTGAACCTAGGGGAAGCATAAGCATGCTCCCTGAGGCTTTCAGCCTCTCCCACTGCCCCTGGCACTCAGTCACATCTTCTCTGATGTTTACTCTATCCAGAAATATCCCCCTAGCCAGATCCTGGTGGCTGCCCTCTGCTGGCCCCCAGGTCATTCCCTCTCCTCCCTCAAGGAGTTCATTCCCTCACTCACATCTGCCCTTCTACCCCACCCCTGTCTCTGGACTTGGGAATTTCAATTTTCACATGGGTTGATGTCCCTTCAGACAACTTGGCTTCTCAGTTCACACACCTACTCAACTATCATAACATGCAGTTTCAACCAACTAACAAATCAAAAAGAATTTATTAAGGCATTATTGTGTACAAGGTACTGTGCTAAATGTCAGAGATTCAAAGTTAAAAGCAAAACCAGCACCCTGCCTCAAAGAGCTTAAATTCGAATGAGGGAGACATTTACATATATACATGCAGACTATGTGCTGTGTAGAAGGAAGATAACTTCAGGGGGGATCATCCTAGCAGATAGGGCAATGGGGAAGGCTTTCTGCAGAAGGTGGGATTCCAGGTGAGTCTTGAAGGAAGCCAGGGATTCTAAATGTGTGTGTGCAATGTTCAAGAAATAGTAATTAGGACAATAGGGCTAGATCCAGTCACACTCCACTATCTTACCCTTGATCTCAGGAAATAACAATCAAACCCGCATTGCCGCAGTTACTGGGGAGGGTATGACAGGATATTGTCCTGTTGTACACTCATCATCTTCCATGACCCAGCCTGCCACAAGTGTCCCACCTCCCCAGTCCATAACTCAGAAATTCTTCTATCTGACCATAACCTCCTATCTTACCAGCTCCCTCTGAGCCTCAGCCCTCCTGACCCTATTCTCTGACCTCCTACAACTTCTAGTCACTCCTGTCCTTCCTGCCTTCCCAGCTAGCATCCAACAATCTTAGGGTCGTAGATTTAGAGTTGGAAGTGACCTTAGAGGTCATGGAGTCCAACTCTCATATTTGACAGACAAGGAAACTGAAGCCCCCAGAAATTCAATGTCTTGTCCAGTTCTAATATACTATGAATCTTAGATAACCTCTAAGGTTCCTTGCAATTTTAACAGTGTGTATTCTATAACATTCTATGATCTCATTTTCCTTCCAGTTCTAACGTTCTATGTTCTAAGTTTCCTTCTAGCAACCACCTTCTGTGTTCTATGATCTTAGATTCTTTCCAACTGGACAGTCTATGGAATCTAGGTGGTGTTATGGACTGTTCTTGGATACAGGAAGACCTGAGTTTGATCCTACTTCAGACACTTACTAGTTGCATAAGCCTGGACAGGTCATTTAACCTCTCTCTGCCTCTGTTTCCTCATTTGTAAAACAGAGATAATAATAGCACTTCCCAGGGTTGTTACGGAGATCAAATGAGCTAATAAATATAGAAAGCACTATATAAATGTCAGCTATCATACATGCTAAGATTCTGTGACCTCAGGACCTTTTCACTTCTAACATTTTATTTGATAACGTTGTATTGTTTTAAGATTCCTTTCCTTTGAAACATTCCTTATTCTGTCATCTAAGGTTAAATATTCTGTCCTCTAATATCCTGTGTTCTAAAGGACTTCCTAACATTAACATTTTACTAATTTTCCAAGTTACTACATGGCATTTTTAAAAAATAAATTTTATTGCTATCTTTTGTTTTTATATCACCTAAATTTCTCCTTGTACCCCTTCCTCCTCTTCCTCACAGAGAGCCCTCCTTAATAAATAAGATTGTTTTAATTAAAAAGAAAAATAGGAGAGAAAAATAATCAAAACCAATCAACATACCAAAAAAAATCTTAGAATACATACAATGAATGTTCCATACCTGTGGATGCTTTATCTCTACCAAGGATTGGGGGGGAGGGAAGTGTCTTCTTTTATTTTCTTTTTGGGAGCCAATCTTGTTCTTTGTAATTTTTCTGTATTTATTTTCAATTGTTCTTTTCATTTATATCATTAGCTTTCCATCCTAGTTGTCATTGTGCATATTGTTTTCTCGGTCTTGCTTATTTCACTCTGCATTAGTTGAAATAAATCTTCCAATGCTTCTTTATAGCTGTTATAGTCATCACTTCTTACAGCACAGCAATATTCCATTCGTGGATCACAATTTGTTTAATCATCCCCCAAATGGTAGGCATCGTCTTTGTTTCTAGTTTTTTGCCACCACAAAAACTTCTGCTATAAATACATAGTGTATGTGGAGGCTTCCTTTTTTTTTATCAAGGACCTCCTTGAGGGATATGCTTCGTGTTGGAATCTCTGGGTCAAAAGATATGGACATTTTAGTCTTCTAAATAGCATTTGCAGGGATTATTAACCTGGGATCCACGAACTTTTTTTTAAATTAATAATTCAATTAAAACTGTAATTCAATATAATTGGTTTCCGTTTTGATCGTATATATTTTATTTTATATATTTAAAAAATATTATTCTGAGATAGGGATCATAGGTTTCACCAGACTGCCCAAGGGAACCATGATACAAAAAGGTTTTAATACTCTACTCTGAAGACCTTCCCAACATTACATTCTTTTTCCTAAATTGTTACCTAGTTTCCACGTTCTAAGGCCCCTCCCACTGTTAACATTCTATTTTCTAGGTTGCTACACGACCATTCTAAGTTCTAAGGCCCCTCCTACTGTTAACATTCTATTTCCTCTAAGTTGCTACAGAGTATACAATGTGCCAAAGTCTTCCCAGCCCGGCCGTCCTAGAGTTTACAGAAGGTGAAGGCTGAGCGTCCCCTCTGCTCAGGCTCCTGTCCTCCGAGCTCGTGGAGGGCAGAAGCAGGCAGGACTGGCCCTGAGGGCTCCGGCGTAGGAGGAGGCCTGGCCGGCCACACTTCCCATCAGGACCGAGGACCGCCACACTTCCTGTTGATTCTTCTCCTGGCAGGAGTCCGGGCTGCGGGGGAGGAGCTTGGGGAGGGAGGGAGGGAGGGGTGCTACGAGCAGGCTGGCAGGCAGATCGACGGGGCACCGAGGGGTGGGCTCCGCTGTCCGCCGCGGCCACTGAGTGTCTGAGCCCAGGGCGGCTCCGAGACAGCCCCAGCTGCTCGTGCGCTGGGGAGAGAATCCCAGGCCCCCGCAGCCGCCGCCGGACGCTGGCTCCGGGTCCGGCAGCCACAGCTGGGAGCCCTACGTGTCACTGAGAGCAGCTGCGGCGGCTGCTGCCGCGGCCCCCCGGGAGACGGACAGCACCCGGGCAGCAGCCCGACCAAGCACCATGCCCGCCGTGGACAAGTTGCTGCTGGAAGAGGCATTGCAGGACAGCCCCCAGGTACCAGCTAGAGGGGCCCCTCCCGCTCCCCTCCTTCCCTCCCTCCTCACTGCCCCCTCCTTCCCTTTCACTGCCCCTCCCTCCTTCTCACTGCCCCTCCGTCCCTCTCACTGCCCCCTCCCTCCTTCTTTCTACCCCCTCCCTGCTTCTCACTGCCCCTCCATCCCTTTCGCTGCCGTCCCTCTCACTGGCCCCCGTCCCTCTCATTGCCCCCTCCCTCCCTCCCTCTCATTGCCCCCTGCCTCTTTTTTACTCCTCTTCCCTCCCTACATCTCACTGACCCTCTAACCTTCTTACTGACCATCCCTCTCTCCCTCTTCTTGCCCTCTCCTTCCTTTTCACTGCCCCCTACCTCCTCCTAAATGGCCCCTTTCTCCCTTCTCATAGCCCCCCCTCTTTTCCATTGGCCCTCTGTCCTTCTTACTGCCCATCTCTCCTCTCCTCTTTGCCCCCTCCCTCCTCTTTCACTGCTCCTCCCTCCTTCTCATTGTCCCCTCCCTCCTTCTTACTTCTTCTCCTTCTTGCTGCCTGCTCCTTTCCTTCCTTCCACTACCCCCTCCCTTCCTCCCTGGCTCCTTTCATCTTTAGGGACTGGGGAGACAAAGCCAGGATCTGCCAGGGTCCAGGGTCATCTAGCCTGAGGTTCTTGAGCTGAAAAGGAACCTTGGAGAGGATCTAATCCAACCTATTCATTTTACAGATGGGGAAACTGACACCCATAGAGGTGAAGTGACTTGTCTAAAGTCACACAGCTAATAAGGCATACAGCCAGAATTCAAACCCAGGACCTCTAATTCCAAATCCTCTTTGCGCTACACTACCCTCCTCAAATCCCCTCTAGAGTTGTCTCTCAGAGTTAGCTTTCTCTTCCCGACAGAAACCACAGGATGGCTCACTTTGGGCAGGGAAGGGGAGCAGAAATAGGTGTCAACTCTGACCTTGCCTTTGGGTGAATGGTCCTGGTGCCAAGAGACAGGAGCTGTTACACCCTAACCACAAGAAGAAATTGTTTGCAAGAGCAAAGTTTAGAGAGAGGATTAGAGATTTAAAGCTGAATGGGACCTAAGAGATTGTCTACTGCAGCTCCCTCAATTTCCAGGGGAAAAGGAGGCCCAGAGAGAGGAGGATTGACTTACCTAGAGTCACACAGGTAACAGGTAAACCCAGGTCCTCACGCTCCAATTCTCTTTCTGTTGTACTATCCTGTCTCACTGGGTTCTAGAGTGTGTCCTATCAGTTTCAGGGTATTTCCTCAAAATAAATTACTTGTGTTCTGCTTGTTCTGGGTAATGAAACTGAGCTCCTATGGTGCCCTGGAAACATCTCTAGATTTGAAGTCAAAGGTCCCGAGTTCAAATCCAGCCTCCAAGATTTGTACCATGTGTGACTTCAGGCTAGTTGATTAACCTTCCTGTGCCTTTTTTCTGCTTATCTCTAAAACTAGGGAGCTGCACTGGATGACCTTTGAGATCTTTTTCGGTTCTAGGTCTTTGATCCTAAGTCACTCCTTCTCCCTGGGGCTCAGTTTCCTCACCTGTAAAATGAGAGGATTAGGCTGGATGGCCTCCTTTCTACTCTCTCTCTCTCTGATCCTGTAATCCTAAATTAGATCATGTCCCTGTACCTCAGTTTCCCTCCTCTGTAAAAGGAGAGGGTTGGTCCAGAAAGCCTCTGAGGTCCCTTCTAGCTTGAGATCTAGTAACCTATGACTCTTTTCTGTCTAGAACCAATGGGGAAGGTGGGGAGGAGAGGTTTTGTGATCTGGCTGGTGGAAGGAACATTCCAGATGGGAGACAGACAGAATTTGGATTCTTTTTCCAGCCTTCGTTCGGATGTGTCAGCTGGCCTCTCTATCCCACAGTTTCCCCATCTGTAACATGAGGACAATAACACCTTCCCTACCTCACACAGTGGGATTTTATTAGCACAAATGAGATGTTTGTAAGAAAAAAAAAAAAATCTCTGAGCCACCCAGATTCAAGGTGCTTGGTAGAGGCCATAGATTAGCAGCAGAGTAATAACTGTTCGTAATTGAACAGATCTCTCCCCGGAGTCATATGCACTTCTAGTCCATTTAAGGTTTCCCAACCTCATCCCATTAATGATGCTGCTCCCTGTTGCTCAGGACTCCAGAATGTCTTCACTTTTCCATCGCTGGCACAGGACTGGCCACTTCCCCTTAGCTGGCTTTAGCCAGTCTCCCTTTTTATTTTTTTTTTTTTGGTTAGGCAATTAGGTGAAGTGACTTGCCCAGGGTCACACAGCTAGTGTTATGTGTCTGAGGCCGGATTTGAACTCAGGTCCTCCTGACTCCAGGGCCAGTGCTCTATCCACTGTGCCACCTGGCTGCCCCCAGTCTCTTTTCATACACATTCCAGGCCAAATGCTGCCTCCCACGATCACTTTGGCTGTCCTCACCTGCCTCTATACCTACAGCCCGTTGGTGTCCACCAAGTTGATTCAGAGGCTACACTGCTTTATGGCCAGGTTCACTCCAAAACTCACTTAAAGCCTTTTTTGATTCCCCTCCCCAAAGAAGCTTGTATTTATATTGTATAAATTCTGCATGGACTCATGTGTGCACATATTATTTCTCCCAGAAGAATGTAAACTCTGTGCAAGAAGAGATTGTTTCATTCTCTGTACTTGTATCCCCAGCATATATATATGTATATATCTGTGTGTGTGTGTGTGTGTACACACAAACATAATATACATATACACATATTTTGTATATACATTTGTATATGTCTGTGTGTGTGTGTATGTATTCGTATGTATGTAGATAGAGATAAATAGATCCATCCTAGTACTGTACCTTTTTTGTTGTTGTTCAGTCATGTTTGACTCTTTGTGACCCCATTTGGGGTTTTCTTGGCAAAGATACTGGAATGGTTTGCTATTTCTTTTTCCAGTTCATTTTACAGATGAGGAAACTGAGGCAAAGAGGGTTAAGTGACATACCCAGGGTCACACAGCTAGTAAGTGTCTGAGGTCAGATTTAAACTCAGGAAGGCGAGTCTTCCCAACTTTGGGACCAGCACTCTCTCCACTGTACCAGCTAGCTGCCCATGTGCCTAGCACGTAGCAGGTGCTTCTTGATCAGTTGGCATCAAATACTGCCTCTCAATCAGTCTGTCAATTAGCATTTATTATGCACCTCTTATATAGCAGGTACCTCTTATGTTCCTCTGACACTTACTAGCTGTGTGACCCCAGGCAAGTCACTTTACCTCTCTGATCTTGTTTGCTTTCATCTACTCCCCTTCTCTCTCATACATATGTAATGTTTTACATGTTTTAAGCTCCTTGAGGGCCGGGGCTGTCTTTGCTTTTTCTTTGGACTTCCAGTGCTTAATAAATGCTTGTTGGTTGGCTGGTTGATTTCCTCATCCATCTGTAAAATAGGGCTAATAGTATCCACAGTAGCAGCTTGTTATGCGGAGTACTTGGTAAGCCTTAAAGCATTATGTAAATATGGTTGCTGTTGTTACTATTCTTTGCCATACTGGTGTGTCAGCTTTCCAACAGATCTCAGGGTTTCTGTGATTTTTGTTGGTCACATGGTACAACTGCTTTGGACAAATTCCCACCCGCTGGCCTAACTGCACCCCTTTACTATAAATCAATCAGTAAACACTTGTTAAATTCCTACTGTGTGCTAGAGTGCCTACTGTGTGCCACACACGGAGGTCTTTCACATTTGCATGTCCAGCACTTATCACATAGTAAGCATATAATGAATGTTTTATTTGTTCATTCATTCATTTATTCCTTCATTCACTGTGCTAAATGCTAAAGATATGTGGGCAAAAAACTAAATGCTGATCACTCTCTATTAGAAGAAATAACATCCAATATATCAGGTATATTAAGGAAATACAAGATAATTTAGGGAGGAGGTACTAGTGGCTGGGTCTGTTAGAAAGCCCTCCCTTAGGAGAGAATGCTGGGGGGGAATCTTGGGGGAAGATGGAATTTGGAGGCAGCAAAGAGGAAGGAGTGTGTCCCAGTCATGGGTTAGAGCCAGTGCAAAGGAACTCAAAGGAGATAGGAGATGGAAGGCCACGTTCAAGGAATCGGAAGAAGGCCAGTTTGCCTGGACCAAAGAATGCATGGAGTGGAATAATGTTTAATCATTATAACAACCAATATGGTTCATTAAAAAATCAAACCAAAATCACGTGGAAACAAGAGGAGCTGACTATCACGCCCAACCTCCTGTCTGCTCCTGCCCTGAACAAACTGGTAGTGAGGCCATAGCAAACGATCTTCCGCAGTGATGCTCACTCAACAACAAAAAGCAGATATTCTAACATTAAACATAAAGGACTAAGAGCGGGAAAGTGACTTGTCCTTGCACCCTTTCTATCTGAATTCCACTGAAGAAGATGATAAGAATAAGATTATAAAATAAGTATCAATCAATTGATATTAATTATCAGTTATCAGCTAGGTGGCACAGTGGATAGAGTGCTCAGGTCTTCCTGAGTTCAAAATCTGGCCTCAGATATTTACTGTGTGACCCTGCACAAGTCATGTAACCTTGTTTGCCTCAGTTTCCTCATCCATAAAATGAAAATATGAATAGCTGAAGTGCCGCCTTTACAACACTGTAGTATGGATTAAGTGACTAAATGAATGTAAAGTGCTTTATAAAACCTTTAATAGCTGTGAGTGGCATCTGTTATTTTTATGAGTTCTGGGTCTACAGGCAAGGAGTTCAAAGCACTTGCTAGATGATAGTTTATTATCTTTAAAACTCATCTGTGGAATGGGCACGTTAATGACTACTTTTTATACATACACAAAGTTATGTGTATACACACAAAATATATACACAATACATACATTAAAAAAGTTTTTATACATACACTAAAACCTTTTTTTTTGCTGGATTTCCTCAGATCAACTCAACTTGACAACAATGAAAATTGATAGCATGCTCTGTACCAAGCACTGAGAATACAATGACAAAAAAAAAACTGCCCCAGCCCTCA